GAGCTGCAGGTCGCCGGACCCTCCTTGGTCACGAGCCCTGACGATTGCTTTGCCGATCGATGATTCGACGCGGACGCTCGGAACGTCGGGGAGCCCCAGAAGCCGCATCACCCATGCATGCGATCCCGGGGCTTTGGCTTTCAATTTGGAGGGGGCTTTGAGGGTTGCTGAGTGGCTGAGGCGGGGGGGGGGGGGGAGGTTGGGAGGTCTCCCGCGGTGTCAATGTCGAAGCACTGAGCCATCACGGCTGAAATCCCGCATTTAAATCCCCGTGCTCCCACCCGGGATTAAACTGGGCTCTCGACTGTGCTGAGTGCTGATGGCCTCGGCACGGTCGACGATGACTGCAAACACACAAAACAGCAGCAGCAGCAACAACAACAACAACCCCATTGCATAGATTAGCGCTCTCGACTTAAGCTCAGTTGAACCCGGCACGCGCTGCGTTACGCTGCTGCTGCTGGTGTAGTTGTATTGTGCGGTTCGATGTTGGACGGTGCTGGTCTCGACTCTTAAGACTCTCGGCTCGAGAGAGCGGCGATGTTTCGTTTTTGGCATTCCGATGGTTTACCCGGCAAGAGCCTCGCTCTGTGAGTTCCGTGACTGACCTTCGGGAGGGCACTGCTAAGTTTTCGCGACGTTGTTTTGTGCGCGGTTAGCTACGTACGGTGTGAAAGAAGTTCAACATACATACACACATACGTACGTTGAGTAATTCGCGGAGAGGTTTTTTTTTTGGGGGGGGGCGGTAGGGGGATTGGTGGGGGCGGTTTCAAACTTTGGTACAACAACAAAAACATTGGGACCGATACACCGGGCACGCAATGGCCCCTACGACTCTTGCCGGTGACGGCACGGGGCTCTTCTTTAACGTCCGCCGTGGACGAGGCGTCGCGCGCGACCGCCACAGAATCACGGCTCCCCACACCGCAGGTCGCCTCGAGACTCTCCTCCTGGATCCTCGCCCCCGGGGTTCCGGTGAACGAAATGGAACCTGCAACTGGCCCGTTGACGATCCGCATGGCACTTTGGCCCTGCCATCGAGGAGGGTTTCATAGTTTACAAGCCAAAGAAATAAAACTTATTTTTTAAAAAATATCTTGTAATTGTCTACAATTACAATGGAGATGTTTTAATGTTTTATATCTGCAATTGCAACAGTGGTGTGCAACTGTGGGTCATCCAGAACAGACCACATACAACGTAAAACGTCGCAATGCCCCGAACCAAAAAAACGAAGGAGACATCACAGCGATGATGATGATGATACCCTCCGTTGCTCCTGACGCGGCTATCTCGCCTTGACCGCCAGACTGTGAAATTGTAAGTTGGTGGTCCCGCAAGCTCCGTCAGGAGCCGTACGCTCAGAAGAAGTTGCAGCACCGAGTTCTCTCGAGTGCCCTCTCGTGGCTGCCGTGCCTCATAGGTCCGTTGACGAGCTCGACTCACTGGAGGCGATTCTTGAGATGCTGTTGCAATTCACCTTCATCGCCAGCTGTGACCAATCTACTGCTGGATGAAGGCGTCCCTCCCCATGCAGTCGCTCAGGGTCTCGCGATCCAGTGATGTTTCTAGCACTGATGAACCCTTCTAACAATACGAATAATTTTGATTTAAAGCTTTCGTGACTGCAGGGATTCATATTCTTGGTTCTTTCGGTAAAGTCACGTAGAAGGGAAACAATAAAATAATAAATATATTAAAATAAATACATTTTTATTATTTTATTGCTTCCCTTCTACGTGACTTTACCGAAAGAACTAAGAATATATAATACGAATAATTTCAACGTATACATACTCCCCCCCCCCCCTGCCCTGCCGTCTTACCCCAAGCTCTGCGGTCCTCTATATATCAAGGTTTTGTCGGACATTTACTGAGCGTGTATACGTGCGGGAAGAGAACCGGAGCGCCCAAAACAAAACAAAAACACTTGCAAGGGGGCAACACTCGATCCCAAACAGAGTTGGTCGCAGCGACCTCAACTCCGCAAAGTCAGCTCTGGGTCAAAGGGTCTCCTCTCTCCAGACATTGTCGTCATCCATTGTCATTATTATACTGCTGGATGAGGGCCTCCCATCTCTCGCGATCCCGCGATGTAATGATCGCCCCGCAAATGAACCAATTTCATCGCTCCATCTCTTCGGTGGATCGTCCTCTAATCATTCCATCCGGTGGCCATCCGCGACACGGAGGGTCGATGCCCACCTGGAGAGGCGGTCTCCATCTTTCGCGATCGTCAGCGTCTCCCAAGGAGCGATCGTCCCAACAGTCTCACGTTGTCCCACCAACTCGTCCCTTTCATTTCTCTTTCCCACACTTCTTCCACTTTCCCCCTCCCTTTTCCGGGAACTCGCGCACGGTGAAATCTACTAATGTGTGTCTGTGGCGAGTCTCCGGCACCCCGAGTTAGGCGGTCGTGGGAATTCCAGGTCCTTCTCTCCATTCAGACGGTCACCAGTCGCGTCGTCGCGGGGAGTTCTAACAAAACAACTTAAGCCGACGATTCGCCTTCTTCACGTGTCGGTACCTCCGCGAAAAGCGTATAAGTATTTTTTTCCACGTCCCACCTTCTGGGAAGTGCGAAATTTCCACGGATTTGGTTCCAGCGCAGGCAAACCGTGGGGCCGGTTTCGACATTAAGTGTCTCATCGGCGGTCAGGGGCTTGCGTTGGCCAATGCTGGAGAACAACACCACGTGATAGGCGAGGACCCCTCTGGAAGGTGTGGGTCCCAGGTCGAGGCTGAAGTCATCATTGGCTAAATTTTTCCTTTTTTTCTTCCTTTAACGGTGATTGTGCAACCACGTGTGCGTCTGTGTGCGTTCATGCGTGACAGCGATTTATCTGAATCGGTCTTAGGCCTCCCCCAGGTCGACTCAGCCTTAAACGAGTACCATGGTGTGTGTAAATAAAGCCTGAGTTTTGCCTAAAATAAACAATTTCAACTATTTTTATTTTTCAAGGTAAAGCCCACGAAGCTATGTAGCTCTTTTCACAGGCGATCTGGCCACAAATTATAGTTTATCATCACGTGGAAATTCATAGCAGCCAAATACTCTAAACGCACGTTTCTAAATGTGGAGGGGAAAATTTGAGGAACCCGAGAAAATATCCACAGCAGGCATCGTCAGGCTCGGGATCGAACCCACGACCTCCTGTATACCAGGCGAGGTAGTTAACATCTAATAACCACCGTGATGATGATGATGATTATGAGAGAGACACGCTAACTCCAAATCTACAGCAGGCGTCAGGCTCGGGATCGAACCCACGACCTCCTGTATACCAGACGAGGTAGTTAACATCTCATAGCCACCGTGATGATGATGATGAGAGAGACACGCAAACTCCAAATATACAGCAGGCGTCTGGGTCGGGATCGAACCCACGAACTCCTGCATACCAGGCGAGGTAGTTAACATCTGCGATCCACCGTGATGATGATGATGATGAGAGAGACACGCAAACTCCAAATCTACAGCAGGCGTCTGGGTCGGGATCGAACCCACGACCTCCTGCATACCAGGCGAGGTAGTTAACATCTCCTAGCCACCACCTGGTGTGTGGAGACGGTGGCTACCCTGTGTGCAGGTGCCAGGCAGGTTGTTAACTTCGCAAGGGAGCGCGAGGCGGCAGTTGGCCTGAGGAGGCGTTCATCCAGCAGTGGAGTGACCGTGACTGATGACGGCGGTGGACACACACTCGCCGTTGTCACGGGCGCGCGGTGGAGGCAGGAGGCGAAGCCGACCACGCGCGTGGCCGCGCCTCCGACTAGCACGGTCGGCTACGTGCGGTGCGAAAGAATTTCAACACACGCGCACACAACGCGTGCTGGAGTACAGAGTCCACTGGAGCCTCTCTCTTGGCAACTGGGCATGCTAAGGGAGTGGTGGGGTGGGTGGGGGGTTGTGACCAGTGACGTGCGGCGAGGTCAATGCCTTGGGAGGCACTGGCTAGTGTCAGAGCCAGATTCGCACACTGAGGGGTGCGTGGCCTCACGGAGGGGGGCGTGGCCGTATGGGAGGGGGCGTGGCCTCACTGAGGGGGGCGTGTTAGACACGTCCCCCTCAGTGAGGCAGATGTGATAGCTGCCTCCCCTGGTGCTTCTTCATTGCAGTTTCATGACGAGACCAGCGAGCCTAAATATCTTTATACACATACGTGAAATAAGTTACCTGGAGTATGGAAGGCGAGGACATTAAATGAAGGGGTCTACAAACATTACATTGCTGACACACAGAGAGATAGTAACAGGAACCCACTTATTGCCCGCGCTCCATCCAATTACTGAGGGGTTGCACAATCAGAGGGGAGGCTGAGCACGTCGCTGCCTCACCTCTCGTCTCTCGCTGTATTTGCAGCGGAGCTCCGCAAATTTGGCGATTTTGACTCTAAAAATGATTGGAATCGTACAGAAATCACATTCATAACACAGATCAGTGGGAAAATATTAACATTTATTTTATTTGATTATTCTTTTTTATTGTTACTTTTCGTAACAGCTATTTCCATTGGAGCATGCCAGGTGAGGCTCTGCCTCCCCTGCCTCCCCTGACCGCACGTCCCTGGTTGTGACCCTTTTGGACAACAGGACCCGCGAACGGAACGACGGACGAGCGGCCGTGTGACCAACGTCCTCATCAGCGCGCAAGCGGCACCCTCCCCTCTCCTCCCTCCCCCACTGCGAGACGTGGACCCGACATTCGGGGCGGTCCGAAAAGTTTGCCCAAACCTGAAACGTGCTTCGAATGACACCGACGAGAGGAGCGCGCGCGTGGGTCGAACAACCCCTAGGTTTGCTCGGCCTTTAATTGTCCTCTTTGATGCGGTGTGCGCGAAGCTTGGCAGTGGGGAGACGGAGGCGTCCCGGGCCGCGCGGTGTCTCTTCGCTCGGCGTCGCTGTTGTACCGTGCCGACGTTACCCGGCGCTTGGTGTGCGAGGCTAAACGTGGGATGTGTGTGTGCGCGTGTTTGTCCCTGTGCGTGTGTGTGCGTTAGACTTTATAGAGAGCACTGCTGGAATGGCCCAGTATCCATCGCCAGTCATCAGCGCACAAAGTAAGGTCTACAGACCAGGGGGACGTAGATTCACCCACGGGCTTGTCATCCGACAGCTGCAAACTGTCGCGCACAATGTCACCGTTTCGCTTCCACTGCCTCTGACTTTCTGGGCTTGCAAACCGCTCTCTTGGCTTCTCTCCTCCTGCATGTCGTCTACCTCTGTGTGTCTACCTCTGTGTATCTACCTCTGTGTATCTACCTGTGTGTATCTACCTCTGTGTATCTACCTCTGTGTCTACCTCTGTGTCTACCTCTGTGTGTCTACCTGTGTGTGTCTACCTCTGTGTATCTACCTCTGTGTGTCTACCTCTGTGTGTCTAACTCTGTGTCTACCTCTGTGTATCTACCTCTGTGTATCTACCTCTGTGTATCTACCTCTGTGTGTCTACCTCTGTGTGTCTACCTCTGTGTGTCTACCTCTGTGTGTCTACCTCTGTGTATCTACCTCTGTGTCTACCTCTGTGTGTCTACCTCTGTGTCTACCTCTGTGTCTACCTCTGTGTGTCTACCTCTGTGTCTACCTCTGTGTCTACCTCTGTGTGTCTACCTCTGTGTATCTACCTCTGTGTATCTACCTGTGTGTATCTACCTCTGTGTATCTACCTCTGTGTCTACCTCTGTGTCTACCTCTGTGTGTCTACCTGTGTGTGTCTACCTCTGTGTATCTACCTCTGTGTGTCTACCTCTGTGTGTCTAACTCTGTGTCTACCTCTGTGTATCTACCTCTGTGTATCTACCTCTGTGTATCTACCTCTGTGTGTCTACCTCTGTGTGTCTACCTCTGTGTGTCTACCTCTGTGTGTCTACCTCTGTGTATCTACCTCTGTGTCTACCTCTGTGTGTCTACCTCTGTGTCTACCTCTGTGTCTACCTCTGTGTGTCTACCTCTGTGTCTACCTCTGTGTCTACCTCTGTGTGTCTACCTCTGTGTATCTACCTCTGTGTATCTACCTCTGTGTATCTACCTCTTTATGCCTACCTATGTCTACCTCTGTGTCTACCTCTGTGTGCCTACCTCTGTGTGTCTACCTCTGTGTCTAACTCTGTGTCTACCTCTGTGTATCTACCTCTTTATGCCTACCTATGTCTACCTCTGTGTCTACCTCTGTGTGTCTACCTCTGTGTGTCTACCTCTGTGTGTCTAACTCTGTGTCTACCTCTGTGTGTCTACCTCTGTGTATCTACCTCTTTATGTCTATCTATGTCTACCTCTGTGTGTCTAACTCTGTGTCTACCTCTGTGTTTCTACTTCTGTGTCTACTTCTATGTCTACCTATGTCTACCTCTGTTGTATGACTTGAAGGCAGACATGTTCACCGTTCACCGTGTTCTCCCCATCGTCAGATGCTCTCCCCCCCCTTCCCCAACACCCTCTGTGTTTCAAAGCGAAGAGTGAGGAGTGATGGTGAGGAGTGAGGAGTGAGGGTGAGGAGTGAGGGTGAGGGGTGAGGGGTGAGGGTGAGGAGGGGTGAGGAGTGAGGGTGAGGAGTGAGGGGTGAGGGGTGATGGTGAGGGGTGAGGAGTGAGGGGTGAGGGTGAGGAGTGAGGGGTGAGGGGTGATGGTGAGGAGTGAGGGTGAAGAGTGAGGGGTGAGGAGTGAAGGGTGAGGAGTGAGGGGTGAGGGGTGAGGAGTGAGGGTGAGGGGTGAGGGTGAGGAGTGAGGGTGAGGGGTGAGGGTGAGGGGTGACGGTGAGGAGTGAGGGTGAGGAGTGAGGGGTGAGGAGTGAGGGTGAGGGGTGAGAAGTGAGGCGTGAGGGGTGAGGAGTGAGGGTGAGGAGTGGGGAGTGAGGGGTGAGGGTGAGGAGTGAGGAGTGAGAGTGAGAGTGAGGGTGAGGAGTGAGAGTGAGGGTGAGGAGTGAGGGTGAGGAGTGAGGGTGAGTGGTGAGGGTGAGGAGTGATGGTGAGGGGTGAGGAGTGAGGAGTGAGGGTGAGGAGTGAGGGTGAGGGGTGAGGAGTGAGAAGTGAGGGTGAGGGGTGAGGAGTGAGAAGTGAGGAGTGGGGAGTGAGGAGTGAGGGGTGAGGAGTGAGGGGTGAGGAGTGAGGGGTGAGGAGTGAGGGTAAGGAGTGAGGAGTGAGGGGTGAGGGTGAGGAGTGAGGAGTGAGGGGTGAGGGGTGAGGGTGAGGAGTGAGGAGTGATGGTGAGGGGTGAGGAGTGAGGAGTGAGGGGTGAGGGTGAGGAGTGAGGGTGAGGAGTGAGGGTGAGGAGTGAGGGTGAGGAGTGAGAGTGAGGAGTGAGGGTGAGGAGTAAGGGTGAGGGGTGAGGGGTGAGGAGTGAGGGTGAGGAGGGAGGGTGAGGAGTGAAGGTGAGGAGTGAGGGTGAGGAGTGAGGGTGAGGAGTGAGAGTGAGGGGTGAGGGTGAGGGGTGAGGGTGAGGGGTGAGGGTGAGGAGTGAGGGTGAGGAGTGAGGGTGAGGAGTGAGGGTGAGGAGTGAGGGTAAGGGGTGAGGGTGAGGAGTGAGGGTGAGGAGTGAGGAGTGAGGGTGAGGAGTGAGGAGTGAGGAGTGAGGGTGAGGAGTGAGGGTGAGGAGTGAGGGTGAGGAGTGAGGGTGAGGGGTGAGGGTGAGGAGTGAGGGTGAGGAGTGAGAGTGAGGGGTGAGGGTGAGGGGTGAGGGTGAGGGGTGAGGGTGAGGAGTGAGGGTGAGGAGTGAGGGTGAGGAGTGAGGGGTGAGGAGTGAGGGTGAGGAGTGAGGGTGAGGAGTGAGGGTGAGGAGTGAGGGTGAGGAGTGAGGGTGAGGAGTGAGGGTAAGGGGTGAGGAGTGAGGGTGAGGAGTGAGGAGTGAGGGTGAGGAGTGAGGGTGAGGAGTGAGGGTGAGGAGTGAGGGTAAGGGGTGAGGGTGAGGAGTGAGGGTGAGGAGTGAGGGTGAGGAGTGAGGGTGAGGGGTGAGGGTGAGGAGTGAGGGTGAGGAGTGAGGGTGAGGAGTGAGGGTGAGGAGTGAGGGTGAGGAGTGAGGGTGAGGGTGAGGAGTGAGGGTGAGGGGTGAGGGTGAGGAGTGAGGGTGAGGAGTGAGGGTGAGGAGTGAGGGTGAGGGGTGAGGGTGAGGAGTGAGGGTGAGGAGTGTTTATTCATCGAGAGGATGCATTTCACCATCTTCTGGGAAGTTGGTTCCTCCACAGCCGAGCGGTGACCCCACACCAGAGGAGAGAGAACACACGCCGCCAGATGCTCAGAACCACCTCCCAGAAGATAGCCCTCCCTCCCTCTCTCTATTTATATGTCTTACTAAGCGGCGAGTGTCAACAACTCATCTCCCGGGCCCAGTGTCCTTCGTTGTGAGGCCCCAGCGGGCCGCTGACGGCCTCCTGGTGCCCCCCCCACCCGCACGGCGACAACAACACACGTAGCGAGAACACCCCCTTGCAGGCCACGCCGTATCTCGGAATCAGAACATGTATTTACACTGCAGGAGAAATCCGACGAGCTGTAAAGCTCTCTTTCTCACAGATGTCCAGTCCAGTAGGGCATGTGGTGGCAGCCAAGGCTCAGGATTGCCGTCTTGAGGTCATCGTTCTCCTTCCCCCGCTGTCCCCTTCGCCTGCAGCTCCCTGACCACCCCAGCGATCCGTGCTGTTGGCTTCCTCTCCCTGTTCAAGTCCAGTCTCAGCATCGTCTTCCTATCCTCCTCTTCTGCCTACGGCTTGCTGGCGTCTCCCTTCCTCTCTCTCTCTCTCCATGAAACCACGACGCCCGCTGTCTCCGTGTGCAATGTTGCTGAAGCGTGGTGGCATGTTGACGCTAAACAAGTCCACTTTGCATACGCGCGTCTTCTACCCCAGTAGGGTTGTGACATTTCTCTGCGATATTGACATTGTTGTTGTTGCTGTTGTTGTTGTCGTTGCTCATGCAGCACCACGGATCTGCCGTGTAAAATAGCCGGACAAAAACTGGCTCCACGGAACCATCATCCGTGTAAAAAAAATCTCAATAAACTTAAATCTTGAATCCCACACTCGTTAACGTCAGCTCAATGAACGTGGGATAGAGCTCATCCCTGTTTGTGATCTTCTTAAGACAGTGGTGGAAATTCCACGTTCATATGCCGCGGAGGAGGATATTCAGAGGACACTTATTGTTAAACCTCCTACAGACTTGAACTTATTTTCCCAATATTGGAGGGATGATAGGCTGAGTGCGACGCTAATGGGGATTCAAACTCACGCCCTTCTTGACTTTGAGTCGAGGCCTGTTAAGCTGCACTCACCGTGGCAGATTTGGTGAATTGCCGCTAATGAGCAGTGAGAATCGCATGTCTTCCTGTTCCACATGAGTTCGTAAGTGAGTGTGATAGAGAGTGAGTGAGTGTGATAGAGAGTGAGTGAGTGTAATAGAGAGTGAGTGAGAGTGATGTTGAGTGAGTGTGAGAGAGTGAATGAGTGTGATAGCGAGTGTGATAGAGAGTGAATGAGTGTGATAGTGAGTGAGTGTGATAGAGAGTGAGTGAGTGTGATAGAGAGTGAGTGAGAGTGATATTGAGTGAATGAGTGTGATAGTGAGTGAGTGTGATAGAGAGTGAGTGAGTGTGATAGAGAGTGAGTGAGAGTGATATTGAGTGAATGAGTGTAATAATGAGTGAGTGTGATTGAGAGTGAATGAGTGTGATAGTGAGTGAGTGTGATAGAGAGTGAGTGAGTGTGATAGAGAGTGAGTGAGTGTGATAGAGAGTGAGTGAGTGTGATAGAGAGTGAGTGAGAGTGATATTGAGTGAATGAGTGTGATAGTGAGTGAGTGTGATAGAGAGTGAGTGAGTGTGATAGAGAGTGAGTGAATGTGATAGAAAGTGAGTGTGATAGAGAGGGAGTGAGTGTGATAGTGAGTGAGTGAGAGTGATATTGAGTGAGTGTGATAGAGAGTTAATGATTGTGATAGTGAGTGAGTGTGATAGAGAGTGAGTGAATGTGATAGAGAGTGAGTGTGATAGAGAGTGAATGAGTGTGATAGTGAGTGAGTGTGATAGAGAGTGAGTGAATGTGATAGAGAGTGAATGTAATAGAGAATGAATGTGATAGAGAGTGAGTGTGATAGAGAGTGAGTGAATGTGATAGAGAGTGAATGTGATAGAGAATGAGTGTGATAGAGAGTGAGTGAGAGTGATATTGAGTGAGTGTGATAGAGAGTGAATGAGTGTGATAGTGAGTGAGTGAATGTGATAGAGAGTGAGTGAGTGTAATAGAGTGAATGTGAAAACGAGCGTGAGAACGAGCAAACCTTTACATGCGAGTGTGAGTGTGTACTTGCGAGCGAGTAAGTGAGGGTGCAGGTGCATCTTCTGCGCGTGCGTGGGTACGTGCGTGGGTACGTGCGTGGGTACGCGCGTGGGTACGCCCGTGGGTACGCCCGTGGGCACGTGCGCGAGCGACGCACAGCGAGCCGCGGTAGCGCCTTCGCCCACCGGCGCCCGCCCTGACGCTCGGCCCTCTCTCTCTCTCTCTCCGCAGCGTGCAAGCGGAAGGAGCAGGAGCAGGGACGCGATAAGGGCAGCCAACCAAAGAAACAGCGCCTGGTGTTCACGGACGTGCAGCGCCGGACCCTGTTCGCCATCTTCAAGGAGAACAAGCGTCCGTCCAAGGAGATGCAGATCACCATCGCGCAGCAGCTGGGCCTGGAGCTCAGCACGGTGAGCAACTTCTTCATGAACGCGCGCCGCCGCAGCCTCGACAAGTGGTCGGACGAGGGGGGTCCCGGCGCCACGTCGGGGGCCTCCTCGGGCGCCGGCTCGGTCCACGGCACCTGCACCAAAGCCTGAGTTGGGGGAGACGGGGGAGGGGGCGGAGGGAGGGGATGGAGCAACGCCCGGGTCTCTGTTGGCGCTGTGAAGCGGAGGCCGGAGGAGTTTTACGCAACGGCGGTCGTCGCTGGTTTGGAGCCAGGGAGGGGGAGCGGGCGCGGGTTGCCGGGGTCGGCCTGGTTGGGCGGTGGTGGTGGTGCCGCCGCCGCCGCCGCCGCCGCTGCTGGTGATGGTGGTGCTGGTGGGAAAACAGAGGAGGCCGTGTGGAGCGGTGAGCGGGAGACGCGCGCTAGGGCGCGGGCGGAGGAGGAGGATTGCGAGGGGCGACTCGTCAGTGGCGGCGTGGAGGAGCTCGCAGGGCCCCCCCCCGCCTCTCTCTCTCTCTCTCCCGAGCGGTCTCTGGGCCTTAACCCTCGGCCCGCCGCACACGACGAAGATTGCGAGCAAAAGTCTGGACGGCCTCCTCTTTCTTTCCGCCACCCCTCCGCAACTGTTTGGATCGTCTGGCACAAAGCAGTTTCCTCTGCGACTACTTCACTCTACAGCTTTATTGTTCTTATTTATTTTTCGAGCTCCAAATATCGACGTGCGAAACCAAAGACTCACCTCCCCCCCAACCCCACCCCCCACCCCCACCACACTCTGTTGTTGTTGTTGTTTTTATATATACACACGAAGAAGGAGAAAGAGGAAGACGACGAAGAAACAAACAAACAAAGGCTTGGTGATGCAAACGGCCTCGCGCGCAAATCCCCTCTAGGAACTGGAGCGACGCGGGAAGCGCGCGGCGAGCAAACGGCACTTGACGTGGAGAACCCCTCCTCCCCAAAACACAAAAAAATGAACTCTGTCTCGACGTCGTTTGATGCTTTGATGTTCTAGGTGGAAATATGTTGAACGGGAGTACGGTTTAAAAGCTTTAACCTGCCACTTAAAGCAAGATAATCGCTTTAAGGTGGCGGAACAGCCTGCTTATTGTGGAAAAAAAACGCGTTTCCAATTCTCAGATACGGGAAGCCGAATTTTACACATGAAATAAGACGGGGAATCGAATTGACGTGGTGGTGGTGGTGGTGGCGGTGGCGGTGGTGGTGGACTACTCTACGACGAGGCGCGGCCGGTTCCCGTCGAGGGGGCCGCGTAAAACGCGAGATGAAGATTCTGGGCGACGTCCGGGATTTAACCCCGGCGGTCGCAGGGAAAATGAAAAAAGAAAAAAACGACGGGCGTTGATGAGGTGGTTATTCTGTATGCTTGGTGAAGCCTATACACAAGAGCAGATAAACATCCACGGAATGCATGAACTCGGTTGCGGTTCCCGTTTTGCAAACAACAACATTCGGAATCACGGTTTTAATTTTTTTTGCTTGCTGCGCCATTGCTCAAATGTGGGAATTTGAGCCAGGCGCACGCAACGCAACACCGCCACCCCACATAGCACGACCACCCCACACAGCAAAGCCACCCCACACAGAACCACCACACCACCCAGCACGACCACCCTACACAGCAAAGCCACCCCACACAGCACCACCACCCCACACAGCAAAGCCACCCCACACAGAACCGCCACCCCACACAGAACCACCACACCACACAGCACGACCACCCTACACAGCAAAGCCACCCCACACAGCACCACCACCCCACACAGCAAAGCCACCCCACACAGAGCTGCCACACCACCCAGCGAGCACCCACCGCTTTACTAAACAGCCGATGGGAACTCCCCACGTTATCTTTGCGCAATTCAGAGTCTAAATTAACAACAACAACAACAATAATTAATGATCGTAATATAAAGTAGACATTTTAATCGCTGACCCTCGCGGGTCGTAGAGATGTCGTGAAAACTGTCGCAGCTCACATGTCCCACTTGGGATTTTGGCGGAACGTTTAAAAAAAACAACTAATTAATACATCGCCTCGCCATTCTCAATCCCCCGATGGATGAAGGCCTGCCTAGGCCGTGTCGGTCATCGGAGGGAGTTTTTGACCATACTTCACCACGCTGGTCAGTGCGGGTTGGTGGACGCTTTCGCACGAACGCATAGAGAGGCGTGAACGGGGATTTCCGATATCGCTCGCCGCTGATGCCAGCCATAGCCCGGGATCGAACTTGTGTTCGCCGGGGTTCATAGCGCGACGCGCTATGAACCAGCACCCCCCCCCCCCCCCCCCACAAACCCAGTCTCTGGCTGCCGCGGGGGCCTGGAGGCGCGATTGTCTCAATCTTCTGACGCTCAAGCGGTCATCTGCTACAGCGATCCCTTGCACTTTGATTGGCCCCTGGTAATCGTAACCCCTTTGTCGCCGTCTCACGAGCGAACAAAAAAACCCAGAAGAACCGAAACGCTCGCATGGAGCGCACACGAACAACACGAACAACACGCACGCACGTACACACGCACACACCGGGCCGAATTGAGTTCCTTTACCGCACGGGTAAGTTCATGCATTCGCAATGTTTGTCAGCCCTGTCTATAATCCAAAGGAAATAAATTATACACAGTCAACCAAAGATACGAGCCAGTTGAATGCACGGTACTTGTGATGATATTTTCCCCCAAAGACTTACATTTTAATCATTCTTTCTTTTGTTCGTCCTTTAGCATATATACCTTCGAATGATATACACCTGTCCATTAGTGTACGGTGTGTGTGTATATATATACTTAGCACACGGCACACGTGGTAGTAACGTGTCAAGTCGCGAAAATTCGATGTCCACAATTTGACGTCCAAAGGACAAAAATACAATTTTAAAATCCAAATTTTACAGCCTGTTCGGGGGCAATCGCGAATTTTTTTTTTTTTTTTAGCATTTTCACTCTCGCCTACCGAGTCCCGAGGCCCCTTCCGTCCCCCGTCGTGAGCGAGCGACTCGAGTCGACTCGAGTCAATTCGAGTCGACTCGAGCTGACCGGCGCTGGACAGCGGCGCGCTCGCTGCCACGAGGGAGGGGGGGGGGGACGGAGGATCGCTCCCCGGACGATTCCGATCTCCAAATTCTATCAACGACAACAAGGAACAAACAAACGAAAAACAAAACTCCACTCGGACAAAGCGACTGCAAATCGTTCAATTAGTCACGGTCTGATTATTAGGTCATCATCATCGTCGTGGTCATCCACATCGTCATCCACATCGTCATCCACATCGTCCGGTGTTCCTTTCTTAGTTACCCCCCCGTCGGCCCTGCTTGGGAAAGCGATGTGGACAGAACAAAAAAAAACCTCTTTCTCGAATCCTTTCACCGAAGAGGAGGAGGATGAGGAGGAGTATGAGGAGGTGGCGGCCGAAGTTGGCGATCGCCGCCTCTCTCCCTGTCGATGAGGATGTTTGTCGTTGTTGTCGTTTGTATTTCTCGATTCGTTCATTCTTTCACCTGTAACCAAAATTCCACCCTATCCCCCCCCCCCCGTTATTCTGTTGTATATTGCATCGCAACCTTATATATATAGCTTCTTCCGAGCTCTTAAACCAAGCGCAACGACCTATTTATATAGTCTGAACCAAAGACGCTACCTCAATTGTTTTTTTTCATTCGTGATTCTAATCACACTAATACCAAAGAAAACCAAAGACTTCGTCTTCGCCATGCCTGTGTGTCGGCTCAGCTTTGAAGTCGTTCGATTGCATTATGACTCCCCAGGTATTACGACTCTTGACTGCTACGACCGACGACTGCTTACGACCGACGACGACTGGTGGAGTGTCGCTTTATCGTTTCGAAATGTTTCTTTGCGTCGGCGTGTCCTTTCACGCGACGCCACACACACACACACACAAATTAAAAAAAAACACATTACCTAGGGGATCGCTCTCTCAATACGTTGCTGTAAGACAAGGGTGCAGTAGCCGTGCAGGAAGTGCTCTAAGCCAGCTGATGAACGGACGAGTGCCTTGTATGAACCAAAGTAAATAACCGCTGACAACCTCCTCAAAGAAGAAGAAACATTACGGCACGCGCGCGTGTGTGTTTGTGTTTTCCACGACGACACTGGCGTATACCTCAGCCGCTCGGACTGGACACAACAACCCCCCCCCCCCTCTTCTTTCTCTCCCGTTTGACGTTTCGGCAGGTCGCACAGCAGCACTCATTTTGGGGGGGGGCGGTAGGGGGGGGAGGTCCCCCCCCCCAACACCAACACCCCCCGCTGTGTGACGACACAAGAAGAGTTAAAACAGAAAAAAATATTAAGAGTAATTAAACAAAAGCTACGAATAATGATGATGATGATGATGCTATTAAAAAAAAACACACGAAAAAATACCAAAAAAAATAATCACACCTTGGGGGGGGGGGGGGTTTGTTCATTTCTCATTTTTCCAAGACGTACGTTTTAAACAAAATACAAAAAAAACTTTTACAAATAAATACTGTTATGATATTAATAATAATAATAATAATGAAAGCTCATATACCAAAGGAATTAGCTGAGAAGAAGAAGAAGAAATGGAAAAAAAAATCGCAAAATCTTTAACTTCCTACGGAAACACCAAAAAGTCCCCGCGATGATGATGATGACAGCGCTGACTGCGTGGTCGACGCTCTCCAAATCTCAGCTCCACACAGGCCGGGCGAAAATTCTTTTTACCGCGAGATATCGGAAATACCTCATAGATAGATGTATAGTGTGTGACGTTCTCTTAGAGTTGTACTGTGTGCTACGACGTATTAACTAGTTTGGTAATTGTTAGTGTTGCCCAATGCTTTATAAATACATTGCTCACCTAGAGAGAGACGAGAGAGAGAGAGACACACACACGCGCGCACGCGGACAATGGTGAATTGGGAAGTTTGACGGGGTCGCTCCGATGATGGCTCGCGTGTCAAAGAGAGCTTCTTCGAGGGTCAGGGGGCTTTGTCTCTCTCTCTTTTTTGAGTGGCGGTGGCCCACGAAGTTGACTTTTTATGCTTTTTTTCGCTGTGTGACATGTACCGAGTTGGTTGTAATTTGTCTTAATTTATAGTTGGTGTTAATTTAAGTAAACTTTAAAAAAAAATACTCCCCGTACCAAAGAAAGCAGAATTGCAAAAATATCGTCGTTCCTAGAACATAGAATAATAATAATATATGTGATATTTAATTTAAAAGAATTTTGTGAACGCACACACACACACACGCACTCACGTATGAACACAACCGATGATTGTTTTGTAGATTTCCGTGTACAGTGTGATTCCTTTAAGACGTTAGACGTTCTCGCTTTTTTTTTATTTTGTATATTTTTTAGTCTGGTGTATTTAAAAGAAACACACAAAAAAAACCGATAACTTTTATAGACTGTTAAAGAAGCAGTTGTTATTTTTGTTATCGCTATTTGTTTTTTTTTTTCAGGGTAACTCACGCGATGGGGTTTGTTGCTTGTAGTAGCGAGGGGATACTGCCACTGGATGATATTTGTTTTATTTCGTCAAAGAATCTCTTGGCTTTGGCCATCAAGAGAGACGCGATGTTTACTTTGCAGATTGGGGTAAATAGAAAAGCTCTTAGCAAAGCTGTGGCTACTCACGACGCTCGCACACACGCTGCCACAGACGTCCAAGGAGTGGGGGAGAGAAAAAAAAAATGAACACGCAAAACGCATGCCCTAGACGTCGCGGCTAAGTCACGAGAAATCGTCACGGCCAATTCCCGCGTAGGCACTGTGTGTGTGTTGTGTTGTGTGTTGACGACTATCCCGAACGAGGGCCGTTGCTGTACACACACCACACACACAGGAGCAGGACGTGGCGTGTGTCACCATCACGGCTGTGACTGTCCTGTATATGCATGCAAAAACACACGTGTGTAGAGACATGGCATATATGGGGGTTTAAAAAAAAATCAGCAAGCTTCGTCTCTTTTCGGTTTTGCGTTTTTATTGTCCGGTTATGCGCACACATGCCACTCGAAACCAAACAAAGCGATAAGGCGGTGTGTGTGGGGGTTGTTTTTGAGTTTACTCCCTGCGTGTTATCGTTGTTCCGGCTTTTAAAGAGGTGAAACAAGGTGAATACTTTGCTATCGTATTTAAAAAAAATATCTTAAGACAATTTCCAAAGATGGTGGGTTTAAAGTAAACTTTCAAGTGACGTTATTTGTTCGGCTTATGTTACGGCTGAAGTTACGATGTTTGTACGCCCGTGCGTCGGATAAATCATCACCCTCCCCAGTCCCCCCCCCCCCCCACTTTGCCCCCCTCCTCCCACCAGTAATAACAACTCCAGAGTCACCAAAGATGATGGGCAACTCGGCGTTACGTGACCGTGACCCCCACTCCCTCCTCCATAGCGGGTAGACGATGGCCCTCCCCCCGCAACACAAAGTCTCTTACGGCTTGCTCCGTGCGAACACGCGACGTTTTGGTCAACGGGTATTTAAGATGAACAATCGCCAACAAGTGAGACAAATTTACGGAACTTATGCAATAGTTGAGTGTTGGTGGGGGGGGGGGGGCATTTTTGAGGATTCGTTCAACGGGCGGACCCACGAGCGAAATTATTTTAAGCCAAAGCAAATCGCCCGCGTTGAATAACTCTC